ATTACATGTGATTGTCTATAACAAAAAGGTGTTCCCGTATTCTCGTAAAATAAATGTGTTCTTTTGAACTTTTCACTATATATGTTTCTATATATTATTCAATCATATAATCATATTAAAAAATTGCATTCATATTAAGAAAAAAAAATCATATTGATTGTTATTATAGAAACTGTGACTGATAGGATTAGATAAATCTATAAAGATATTAAATCTAAAGTTAAAACTGTAAAAATACAAACGTTAAAAAAAATGAAAAACTATTTGTTTTAGAAGTCACACCTTATAAAAAAACGCACGACATGGCACGCCTCAAAGTGTCATGACGCGAATCACGCCTTACAAAAACGTTATAGACTTTATTGTAATAGCGGAAACACGTTTTACAATATACGCCATTGCACGTCTTTTTGAATACTGCTAGCTTCACAACGTCTCGTAGGTTAAGCTATTAGTTGGGTTCTACCTTTTTGCAACCCCGTCTGATTATGGACCATATAAACCTAGTACTGATTATGCATCTTGGACCAGTTGAAATCTTGGATTGATTAAATTTTAAGATAGCATCGGGCCCTACATTCGGTAAGGACGTTGCTTTCGGCCGAACACTAAAAAAGAACAAAAATTGCTACTTTGTTGTTTTCTTTAATTTTTTTTGCGTCTTAAGATTTTACCCTTTCTAACAAGATGTGACAAAACGAACCGATATGACGTGTACAAGTCCAAACGAACATGTTGATACGTGTCCACAAACACCTTTTGTCTATTTTTTTTAATTTTATATAAATAATTAATATGTTAAATATGATTACAAAAAGTACATGATTCAAGATAATAGTCTTTTCATTATATAACACGGTTTAAAAGGTCTTATGCACGTGCATACACTTTAGACAACGTTCGGTCCGTTTACAGTAATAGTATGCTAAATGTAGTGATTTAAACGTCTGTATCTACTGGAGACATTAAATTCCGAGTGTGTTTTTGAGTTTTTATAATGTGCAAGCTTAACGAGAGCGCCAATGACATATTTTGAGGCTATAGGTTGAATCTGTTTGATTCACTTTTGAGAGATTATAATAAGTATAGCAGAGGGCCAACAATCCAACCAAATTGAGGTTATCGGCTGAATGCAAAAAGACGGAGGGTTTAGGGGGTGTTGGATGTGCTTTTTCAAAATAACTATTTTTGATAACCGATAACCCCAACTGGTCGGACACGGAACTGGCTCCGAGAATATAAATGTAAGGGGGCTCACTCAGCAGTTGAGGTTAGCAGGAGAGTCTGAGATTGAACCCACAGGTTGTCTTGTTTTTAAGTCAAAGTCGCCCCCACCCTTTGACAGATGATCTATGCACCAAATATTATTTTATCAAAATGATGGATGATTAACTAATTTGACATATATATAACAAGAGGTGAGACCAAGGGTTTTTCGTGAGACCCGTAATACCAATTTATGTTCTTTGATCAACTTTATAAGCTAATGATCTAAAGTTGCAATGACAATTTTGTAAAGTTTTCTAAACAAGTTATTAAATATTTTATAAGTATAGTTGATGTTAAAATGCTATAAAAACAAAGAATCTGTTGGAGTTGAACATAATATTTTAAAGATTTTAAATTTTGGTTATCTATTTTAAAGAAATTATAGAGAATCTGTTGGAGATGCTCTAAATTTACTCAAGAATATCAAAAATCTTCATTTTAGAGAAACTATTGAAGATACTGTTACATATTTCTCTAAAAGTAGAATTCGATTTTTAACTTTAAACTAAAGATATTGAAACCAATTTTTAAATAGATAATGAATTGTGCGAGAATAAGAGTTAATGTGAGAAGCAAAAGAAAACATATGGACCGTTGATCACTTTTAATCGCACCCAACCCCATGAATTGCGGTTATATGAGGAATTAATCTGATGCATCTCGGTGCACCGTATTAGTGTTGATCTTCAATTAGGATTGATAGAAGGGTGGATATCTCTTCTTACCATTCTTACCGGAACCCAACCCTTATTAAATAATTGATACTATATTATAAATCATTTGACAAAAATTTTTAAAATCTTTTTATACATAAAGTAATGTTTATTGATGAATATTACTTAAAATTCAATATTACAAATAAATAATATATAACTACAACTTATTAAAGCTCAATTTTTGAAACTTCTCGGGAATCCTACATAGAAATTCTCTTATTTCATCATCAATCGAAAGCACCTGTAGATAGAAGTCGTTTGCCGATCGGTGGACTCATCCTCAACGCTCAACTTCGTCAGTCTGGTTGAACAGCCTCCCAATGAGAGCGAGCCAAGACTTTGCTTGCTGTTTCTGTTTCGAATTGAACCAGAGACCTCGCCCGTGAAGTAAATCGTACAAGCCTCCTGATAACTCTAATTTTTAGAGTTATTTCTTATTTATTTTCTTCGTTTTTGCATATATTTAATACCCAATTCCTTTTTTTCTCCGTTTATTCTAAAAAGTTTTAAAAGACGATGAAACACAAAAGATGAAAATTTATTTCGAAAACTTGCACTTTTTGGCAACTGTCCACAGTGTCACCACTGTGGGAAGTGTATGAATTTTTGATGAGCTTCTACTTTGTGGATGGTGTTTTCTTGAAGATCTTGATTAAATATCTCCAACTACTAGTTGAAGTCTTCTTCTCTTCTCCTCTTAATTTAAGTTTAGCATTTAATTTTTTTGTATTGAAGTTATAATCTGCTGCCCACAGTCTCACCACTGTGGGAATATAATTTAGTTTTAATTTAATAAAAATTACATTTTAGTCTTATTTATTGTCTTATATTATGTTCCTTGATTTGATTATGAACTAATTTACATATGTGTGTATGTGTGAGAGAGAGTTTAACTTATGATTTTTTATACAATATTTGAGTGTTTTTACTCTTTACCACTCCGTAAACCTGGTCACTTAAGACATGACTTAAACTCAATGCGGATAAACTTATTACTTTGAAGTGTTAATATTATATCTTAGACCCAGAGATAGACGGATTCAAAATACGGCTTAAATGATGCACAAAGAACTCGAGAGAGTCTTTGATAATTACTTAGAGATGCGAATTTTGTATGTATTTAGCCAATGATTAAGCATTGGTTATTCATATTACACAGAGATTTAAGTATGAATTTTATTTCTTCTTCTATTTAGCTAAATCAACAAGTTTCGAAGTGGTAAGAGTGAGAACTTTGTGGGAACTCTTTATGAGTCTTCACTTTCGGGAGATTGGAACTTTTTATAAACATCTCAATAGGTTCTAACCATTATATTGTTGATTTTATCGTAAGGAATACTTACACCAATTTTCATTATTTAGTCTATAAATTCATTTCGCTAATTCGTCTTTTAAAGTTTTTTATAAACATAAATCGAACTTTTATTCACAAACCGAAAAACGATTAAGAAGTTCATGAAAGTCTCTGATTTTCAGTAGTTCAATCCATGTGGAAACGATCTCGGTACTTTTACCACTCTATTACTTGCAATCGATCATAGTGTCGGCTTGCACTTGCACAACCACTGTGGGGATTTTATGTCCACTGTGTAAACACGAACGATCCTAAACTGTAAAGTTTTTGATACTAATATCGATATATATATATATATATATATATTATTTTATTAATCAAATTTAGTAAAAGTCTTAAAGTCTTAAAATACTAAATGACCAAGATACCCTTCATACTATTTTTTCACTTTTTCACCTCCTCATTTCCTCACATACACTCACCCCTCACATACACCCACCTTCTCACAACCGATTTTTTTAAAATTATAATTTTAAATTTACACTTTATACCCCTATAATTA